GGCGGCGGTGGGCGGCGAAATATATCTGCCCGTCGTTACTCCATCAACCTCTCGGCCTTCGACGACTCGGACCACCTCTCCTTCGCTTTCTCGCGCCCCTTTTGGTTTCCCTTCCGGTATGCACCGATGTCATTCCTGTGCTCAATGCTTGATCCCTTCAGGGTCGTATTCGAAGTCTGCGCCGGTGTCTGTTCCTCTGGTGTCCGCAAGCACATTACCAGGTGGCTGTATAGCCTGGATGCTCGTCGAGTATCTCCCTGACGCGATGATAGATTCTGTCCCGTCTTCGAGCGGTATCGTCGGCGCAGCACTGAATCACTCCTCGGTCCTCACCCCCGGCGCGGTCGCCGCCATCGCCCTTGCGGCACTCATCCTGCTGTTGATGCCCCTGGCCTTACATTGGCGCCAACGAAAAAACTTACGTTTAGCGTCACCAACTGCTGCCCATCCGCCTCCCCCCACCGAGCGACCTCTCTGACGACAGCACGATGGCGGCGGTTGTGGGGCCCGCCGGCGCCCGTGAAGCAGGCGGACGGCGTGAAACGGCTCGGCTACGATGCCCCGGCGGCCGTCTACAACGCAGACGAATCTAGCTTTGCGTCCCTCCACGCTCCGCCTCGCCCGCGGCCGCTCCCGATACCCGGCGCACATGCGCTGCGCGCCGGAGCGGCTCCGGCCCGGGTGTACTCGGACGGGACGAGTGCCAGCCGCGCCTCGGTGGACACGCTCCCGCCGTACACCGGAGACCGCAAGGCGCAGGAGTAAACTTAGTAAAGGAAGCCTTTGTAGATTGTGCATGGATTGCCCTGACGAACGAGATGCACTGAGTTAAAAGTTTCGAGTCTAGTGACTACTTATGCCAATGCTACTATTTTTTTAGTCTACTTAACGCTGACCAAATGGCCCTTCAGCCCCTTCCCGCTTGCGAACACCGCGGTCCCCGCCGCGCACCTGGGACACATCGCCTTGGTCACATCCAGTCCATGCCGGGCCTTCCACGCCTCGCCGACGACCGTCTCGATGTTGCTTGGCCGCCGCCGCCGCCGCTGTTTGCGTAAGGCAACACACAAGCGGGCACGCTTTGACTCTGGACCCGGCCCCCCAGCATTTTTTAATTGCTGATCCCGTAGCAGACTACCACGGTGACGTGCGTATACAGTCCACTACTTATGCTCACTGTTGGGCAGCCATCAAGCAACCATCGCTTGGCGTGGCACGTGCATCACGCCTGGTCCGTGCGCACGCCGCAGCACGGCAATCACAGCCACTGGCGGGCAGATCCTTGTTTCTTCCTTCCCGCCACCTTGGTCGCCGGCGTGTTTGGCGGCTGAATGTGCCGACTTTAGCATCGTCCAGCCCTGGATCATCTAGCTCAGCCGCACTGGCAGGAATGCGCCCAGCCGCGCTGAAGTGGCACGGGCGGCGCGCGTTCGCAGCGTGCGAGAGCGATGATTTCTCGATAGGTTCCTTTTTGCTGTTGGGGGCCCAGGGGCGGGATAAACAAAACAAGTCAAGGGAGACCTCATATGTATTCCAGTACCGCCGCGGTCGGACCGACGACTCGCGAGGCGCGTTCGCGGCGCGCAAGGCTCGGTATTCCACGCTCGATCGCCCATTTTTGGCCTCGGCGCGGGGATTCGAAGTCGATATCGATATCAATAAAGTAAGCACGTTCAAACGCTACACTAACACACAAACACCAGCTGTGGTTCACTAGTACATGCCGCGGGGCAGGCGCGAGTGGCGGGCTTGCGGCAGCAGGCGGCGGCGACGCTCTTCGGTCTTTTTCTCGGCGGCACCTTCCTTATTCTCAGCAGCACCTTCCTTATTCTCAGCGGCACCCTCCTTGTTCTCAGCGGCACCCTCCTTGTTCTCGGCGCCGCCTTCCTTGCCGGCTTCGCCTTCCTTCTTCTCGCCTTCCTTGCCGGCCTCGCCCTCCTTCTCGCCTGCTTTCGCGGCCTCGCCCTCCTTCCCAGCCTCGCCCTCCTTCTTCTCACCCTCCTTCGCGCCTCCCTCATTCTTCTCGCCCTCCTTGTTCTCACCCGCCTTCTCACCCGCCTTGTCTCCCCCCGCCTTGCCCGCGAGACACCCGCCGAGCTCGACCGCCTTCTGCACGAGCTCCTGCGCCTTCTTCACCGCGTCGCCGTTGTCCTTGAGCTGCTGCTGCGCGATCTTCGCCGCGATCGCCTGCACGACCGCGTCGAACTTGGCTTGCGCGGCGCTGGCGTTTCCGGCGCCTTCTTTGGCCTCGCCGGCTTTGGCCTCTCCGGCTTTAGCATCACCGGCCTTCCCGGCGTCGGCCTTTCCGGCTTCGGCCTTGCCGGCCGCCTCGCCCTCCTCGGCGCGGGCCCGTCGAGCGCCAGGGAAGAAGCTGCAAGCACATCAGCAACCGCGCAAATGATATATACACAAGAAAGGCGTACATTGAGTTCCCGCCGGCGCCGACTTTGGGGCCTTGGGCCTTGCCTGCCTCGGCTTTGTTGCCTTCGCCGGCTTCGCTGCCTACTTCGGCTTTGTTGCCCTCGCCGGCTTTGTTGCCTTCGCCGGCTTTGCTGCCTCCTTCGGCCTTGTTGCCCTCGCCAGCCTTGGCACCTTCAGCGCCCTTGTTGCCTTCAGCACCTTTCGCTTCGCCGGCGCCGGCCTTCTCGCCCTCGCCGGCCTTGCCTTCGTTGGCTTTGGCGCCTTCGTTGGCCTTGCCTTCACCGGCCTCAGCGCCGCCGCCGACCTTCACACTACTCCATGATCAGCAACCGTTCAACTCGCAACGAACAGCGGAGGCTTACTCGTCGAGCGCGATCCCCTTGACGAGCGCGCCCGTCTTCTGGACCGCCGCGAGGATGTCGGCCGTCTTGCCCTGCGCGGCGGCTTCGAACGCGTCGACGATCGCGAGCTGTGACTGGAGGATCGCGCGCGGGTCTTTGATCGCGACGCTGCATGGTGCACGTGAGTAAGGGGAGAACGGAGAGGGACGGGGGGACGGACAAGGGGTCGATCTTGCTGAGCTGGCGCTCGGCGTCGTGCAGCGCGGTCAGCACCTGGTCGGGCGTGCACTCTTCGGCGCGGCGGAAGGGGCTCGGGCCTAGCGGGGTCAGCGTGGGTGTGCGCGGGAGAGGGAGCGGGAGAGACGGACGGGCGACGGCGGAGCCGAGGAGGAGCGCGGTGTAGACGACGGCGACGGAGAGCTTGAGTTGCATGGGTGGAGCGGTAGATGTGTTGTGTACAGTGTAGAGTGGAAGAAAGGAAAGATCGACGAGAAGAGCCCAAAAACGAACAAAAAAAGTTTACAGAAGAGAAGACACCAGGTCGGGGCACGAAAGCGAAGGGCGAATGGGGAGGGAGGCGGCAGCGCGGGTCACGGTTATATACGCCCCGCGCGGCTATATTGTGATAGGGCGTCGCGCATGGATGGGCTTGGCGCGCATCCCCGTTTCCACGGCGCCGCTGCATCGATTCGCTGGGTGGGGATCAGGTGATGGTGTTGCTGTTTGCGGGCGGCTTGGCGCGCAGATCGTGCGTTGCGGCAGGGACCGGGACTTATTTATAGCACGCACGATGGCGAGCGCAATGTCGAGGAGACCCCGGGTGGATATGCCAGGGCGCTGCGATGGTGCCGTCCAGCGACGCGGCGCATCTCCTGGCTCAGAACCCGGGATCCAGCCCATGGCCAACGAAGCAGCGTCCACCCGCGCGTCGACGCCAAGCCGCGCCAAGCCGCAGATCGCGGAGAAACGGCAATGCTATATTCATCGTATTCATCGTGCACTCACAAAGACTGATCACATCCGTCGCCACCCGCGGTCCGGACAGATGGCATCCGCGGATCGCGACCGCGTGATCGGCCCGGGGTGTTACGAGGGCCCAGGCGCTTGGCGGGCTTGGCGCGGGGTGCAGACTCATGCTGTGTCATGAGCAGTGAGCGGTGGGAGGAGGAGCCAGAAGCGCTGGGTGGGACCTGGGTCGCGCGACCGGGGGATCACCGGCAAGGCCTGTTCGGCGCGGGCTTGTGGCATAGAGGGCCCAGTGGGAGCAGTTTAATTTTGCCCTGGGGCTGGCACAGATGCAGCACACAGGGCATACTGTAAGATTTTATTCAATTCGAATGGCCCGGGGGGCTGTGACACATTGATGTCCGAAAACATTCGTATGATGTTCCCCATTTGGCAATTTGGCGCGCCGAAGGCGCCGGAATTGTAAAGAATTACCATTTTGGGAAGCCAAAATCCACTTTTTGCTGTGACATACGAAAAAATTTCGTATAAAATCGGTCGTGTGACATGTGACATACGAATTGAATAAAATCTTACAGTAGCAGATTGCCACTGGTAACCGGCGTTCCCCAGGATGGCAGGTTCATCGAGCAGCGGAGAGCGGTCCGAGGCCTGTTCGAGCAGAGCTCGCATAGTGGCGTGGCCGAATGGCGTGCGCCCGCCAAACGCCGGCGTGCACGCCACTGATGGCTGTGGCGTGGCGTGAGATGGCGTGGGACACTCCCTAAGGATTTTCTTTGTCGTTTGTCACTGTGCACTGAATCCCGCGGTGGGTTACACTGGCTGTGGTCATTCCCCCCCGAGGTGCTTACTACGATTCCGGTGTCGTCGACCGGTGTGTTCCGAGCCACTGGCAGGCTTCTGTAACCATTGAATGTAGCCCAGAATGGGGTATATCTTTTTTCGATTGGCTGCAGCTCCGAGTGACGATCCTAGCTGCTTGCTTGCTGCGGGTCTTTCTCTGCATCGTACGTGCGGAGACGGAAGACGACGTGGCAGTCACGGTGACGGGACGGCTATCAATAATGTAATGTGACATGTGACGCAAAGTTTTTTCTGCATCGAGTCGGCCTCCATGCGGGCGCTGCAGCGTGAAGGGCGCACACCCAGCCACACCCCTGCATTCCTGGCCATCTCTTTCCGGCCTCCATACAGCTCCCCAACGCCGCCGATGCCGACGGCGGCTGAAACTTGACGCGACCGCTTGATACTTTTGGGCTGCCTCCGCCCGTCATGTCCTCCGTCGACATCGAGCTCGTCGAGCGACGCACCGCTACCACAACAGCAACACCGACCCCGGATGTGTCCGAAGGCGGCTACGGCTGGGTAGTGGTCCTCGGCTGCGCGGTCATCAGTGCGTCGCTCTTCCAAGGGGGGTTCAAGATCCGAATCACGGATATAGGGTCGGAAAGTTTTTTTCCGACCCTCCGGGGACCCCCCCCTCCCCCCCTCCTGCCATATAGGGTAATATGTTCCCACGATTAGCATCATGTGACCACAGATGCGATCAAAAATTGGTATAAAAAATTTAATCTTTGTGAAACTTTTTTTTTCAAAAATTTTTATATATTTGTATATGTATGTGTGTAGGTATCTATATACCTGGAACCCTTAAATACACATGGCAGGCCATATCACTGTTCAATATGTTCACCTCTCATCCATTACCTGATGATGGGCCTGTGATAGGGTGTACTATCCAGGCTCATGGGCCTGAAAGTATATAGATATAAGTATGGGGGTTGTGAACTATAGAAATGAGAGTGTATACACCATATTTTCAGTGTCTTTACACCCATATAAGGCCCAAATCTTTTATATATAAAAAGTTTTTTTTACCCCCCGGGGACCCCTCCCCCCTACCCCATGTGCCTGATAAGGATCTTGAACCCCCCTTTGTGCTCTTCCTCATGTTTGGCTACTGCTGAATGCCTGCTAGCATGGTGGTACCTGGGCATATCGTACAGCTGGGGCATCGTCCAGGCCGCGCTCGTCCGCCGCGGCCTCGCCTCCCCGTCCACGCTGTCCTTCGTCGGCTCGTCCGCCGTCGCGTGCATTTCGGGGCTTGCGGTCGTCAATGCGCACATGATCCGCCACCTCGGGGCGCAGAGGACGGCACTGCTGGGGATAACGATGATCGGGGTGGGGCAGCTGCTGAGTAGCTTCGCGATTGGGGATTGGGACGAGGTGCGTGCGACTCTGCTCTGAAGTCTAACCAGTGGAAGTGACACTTGTGCAGTCTCTGCTTCATGGTCGTGTCCATTACCCCCGCACAGTACTTCCACAACCGACGAGGTCTCGCGAACGGGATCGTGTACGCGGCGGGGTGGACTTGGTGGGGTGGTCAACAGCTTCTTCATCGACGCGCTGATCGAAAAACTCGACCTGGGCTGGACGTTCCGCATCCTCGGCATCATCACACTTGCCACCGGCATCCCCGCTGCCCTGCTCGTAAAAGAGCGCACCCCCATCCGCACAACGGGCTTCGTCGACCCCTCCCTATTCCGCGACCCCAAATTCATCACGCTCTTCCTCGCGGGCGCAATCGGCACCTTCCCGCTCTTCGTCCCGCCCTTCTTCCTGCCGCTCTACTCCGCCTCGCTGCACCTCTCCGCGCGGGCCGGCGCCGCCGCTGGTCGCGACGTTCAACTTCGCCTCCGCGCTCGGCCGGCTCACGTGCGGCTTTCCTGCTCGCGCTCGTGCTCACTGGCCCATCTCCACGTCCCTCACGCCCCTCGTCGTCTTCGCTGTCGTCAACGGCGCGGCGAACGGCGGGTTCTTCTCCACGATGCCGACAGTTGTCGCCGCGGTGTTCGGGCCGGCGCGGCGTCGGCGTCGCGATGGGCATGACCGTGACGGGCTGGGTCGGCGGGTACCTCATGGGCGCGCCGATCGCGGGGTACCTGCTGAGCGCGTATGGCGGGGGCGCGCAAGACGCGTCGCTCGAGGCGTACCACCCCGCCATGTGGTATGCGGGCTTGATGGCGCTCGGCGCGGCGGGCCTCGTGTCGCTGCGGCGCTTCACGAGCAGCACGAAGCTGTTTGCGAAGATCTGAGGCTGCGCACTCGGCACCGGAAATCGTGGTGCAGCTGGACGACGGCTCGAAGAGGAGGGTTCGGCGTTGGAAAGAGTTTGGGCTCAGACTGCTTGTGAAGAGGAGGGATCTAACTCTAAGTATTTGTGTCTGGAGGTGATCCAACTATAAGGTCTACACAGTTCTGACTGTTCAATATATATATACTACACAGGGCTGGGGCTACGCCCCAGCTATGAAAAATCCCACTACGTACAGAATATCACATAGGTGCAGCATGCCCAATGGCCTTCTTAACTATGTGGTCTACTATTGTCTACATAGATTGCAACCCAAGGAAGTGAATTTTATGTATTTATTTAACAATTTGTCAGAAAATTAAAATACTCAGTACACACTTAGAAAATAACCCATACTGTACTATTTTGATCAATTTGGCATGTCACTGTCACACCCAATTTTTGTAAACACCGGGAATAATTTTTTCTTGATTTTCAGATTTTTGGGTGGCTTTTGATTCCATCAAAAAAGCAGTGATCCGGCCGAATTGAATGAAATAGTACAGTTTGATGTGTCCATGCTACTGGGGGCAGGATCATGATGTCATGTACAGCTTTATATCCCAATGAGGATTGGTCACATTTTACAACTTTTCTTACCAATTCAGGGTTTTAACAGCAGTGATCCCAAAAATAGAAGTGTGGAGCAAATGAATTGCTAATGCCAGCGCCAAACATGTGCATACATTCACACGATGTGGCTCCTAGACACCGCGTGACGGCGCGGTGTGACGCGTGACATGCGGGCCCGATCGGGCCCGCACCCTCCCATCGCCCCGTACCAGGGGAACCCAGAGCTTGAGGCCAGAGAGCAAGAAGAAGTGGCTAGGACAAGGGTGAACATAAGAGACAAGAGCCTGAGCTGTCCAGCCCAACCAAGGGCTCAGGTCAATGAGGCAAGCTAGCCTGGGTGTTGGAAGTCGTCTAGACGCCCCTTTCCTGGGGTATGGTCGCAGCAACCCCGCTCTAGGGGACCAGGCCGGAGTAGGGTTCAAAGGAAGAGACTTCAATGCTAAACCTAAGGTACAGGAGTAATACTGTAGTCTTTATATACTGTGGGCGCTAGGGGCCGATCGGGCCCGCTGAGGGTCGATCAGAATGGAGCAGGGGATGTCTCTGGTCGTCCCTGGTCGCTCCGCTAGGAGCCCAGGGACCATTCCTCTGGAAAGGAGCCATGCCAAAGTCGACACTAAGGAGTGTTTGGCAATGCAACAGTGAGGAGCTCCCTCCTGGACCCTGTGGTTGTCTAGGGCCGATTGGGCCCGCTGTCAAGGGCGTCCGGCGGCGCATCATGATCCCTGATGGCGGGTCATGATGGCTTGATGGCTGACTAAAGCGCGATCCGTGATTATGTCCCTTCTCTGGGATATTAGTGTTGTTGCTCATTGCTTTGAGCTTGTGAATTATGAGGGCTTGTCAAGCCCTAGGGCTCTAAGGGTGGTGAGGGCCCGATGGGCCGTATAGGGCCCGTTGGCCCGACCCGAACCCTGACAGAAGTGGGGGTTCCCCTGACACTAGGCACTAAACAAGTGGCCATATTTGGCAGCAGGATTTATATTGGAACAGTCTGGAAGCCTTGACTAGAAAATTTGAGGAGCCAATCAGTGGATCAAGTTACATCATTATATATTACATAATTAATCAAAAGAGGACTCATGGAGGCTTGTAATTTCTATAGAAGTCAATCTGTGAAACAAATAACATATGACAATTTGTTGCAGAAATTGCCACAATTTGGGTTGCGATCGGCGGTCCCTTAGACCCGGTCAGGCCTGCCCACCTGCCCGCTCCCTTTGTCCACCATTCCTTCAACCCTTTCCTTTCACCCTACAAGAATTCTGCATAACGCCCATCCAATCTGCAATTCTGCCCTGTTACTCAGTCATATAAAAGCCGTACCTCAGGCTGCAGCTTGTATCAAGTAGGCGAATACAAGGGGGGTTCAAGTCTCGAATCATGGATATAGGGTCGGAAAGTTTTTTTCCGACCCCTGGGGGACCCCCCTCCCCCCCCCCTCCTGCCATATCGGGTAATATGTTCCCACAATTCGCATCATGTGACCACTGATGCGATCAAAAAGTGGGATAAAAAATTTAATCTTTATGAAACTTTTTTTTGCAAGAATTTATATATATATGTATATGCATATATGTATGTATGTATGTATCTGGAACCTTCAAACACATATGGCAGGCCATATCAACTGTTACACTTTCTAGGCTGATCACTGATGACAGCATCACATTTGATCCCATCATCGATTTCTGATGATATCATCAATCTCTATCACATTGCACCAACCAACCCCAAACGAAGGCTAACACAGCCTTACCATATTTGGTTAGATGATATCATCCATCAATCCATCAATGACTCATACCGAGTCATATCGATCTGAGTCAGAGCGAGTCATGACATGAGTCAGGGTGAGTCGGTATGAGTCAGAGTGAGTCAGTATTAGTCAGCCTGGAATTAGTATATAAGGAGGACGCTGGTGGCCTTCTGCCCCCAAGCGCTTTTATTCTCTTTTCCCTCCTACCTCTTGGGAAATAGTCATCCGGTTGTATCATACCTATCAATACAACTTAATCTCATCATCAACCACTACGAAGTTAGATCATTTGATCATCCATTAAGTTGGCCCATCATCTGATCCGGCTTTGTTTGTGACATCAACTCTTCAACATGTTCACCTCTCATCAATTACCTGTCCATAGACCTATAGCAGGGTGGGCTATCCAAGCTCATGGGCCTGAAAGTATATAGATATAAGTATGAAGGTTGTGAACTATAGAAATTGGAGTGTATACACTATATTTTCAGTGTCTTTACACCCATATACGGCCCAAATCTTTCATATATAAAAAGTTTTTTTTGTACCCCCTCTCCCTACCCCATGTGCCTGATAAGGATCTTGAACCCCACCTCTTGGGCTAATATTGTCTATTCTCCAGGCTAAAACACCCTCTCTTTCATGCTCCTCAGACTGCCTGCAGTTGAATAACCTAACAACTCAGACACCCTGGGCCCAACCCTAACAGAAATCATACAATTTTTTCCCCTCTTCTTATTCAGTGTCTACCACCAATATGAGTGAGTATCTCATTATGGAACATTCCACAACTTTTATATATTTGAGGCAGGAGGCGTCGGCCATTGTGTCAGGGATGGTGGCACCGCGTTGGGCATGGGGTGGGATTGGCGTGTTTGACAGTTGATGTTGCTGATGATGTGCACATGCTGTGCGATCAGTTCCAATCAAGAAGCGACAAAATCTGTTGAAAAATGATGAAGTCATAGCCCACCGGCGTCGGCAACGTCGAGCACAACACCGGGCGGCAAGTGTTGCTGGGCGTCTGACAGCGGGTGTGTCACGGTTCGGGTCAGGCCGTCCGGGCCATAAGGCCGCACGGGCCCAAACGGGCCCGCACGGGCCCGCATACCGCCGTCCTCCTCGACGTTCCCCCATTCTTCCAACCCCTTCCCTTCACCCCTGCGTCCCTACGCAGCGCCCATCCGATCCGCCCTGGGACCTGGCGCCCATCCGATCCATCCCTAATATCGTAGCGTATAAAAACCGTACTTACAAGATGTAGTCGCTAGGCTAATATCGTCTATTCTCCGGGCAAATACCCATCCCTCGTGCTCCTCAGACCCCTTCGAAGTCGGACCCCCCGACGCCCCGATACGGCCCGAGCCCGACGTTGACAGGGTGATGATCAGGGGGGCTGGCGGCGGTCACTGTGGATGTCAGTGGTCAGCCACAAGGTGGTTGCTGGCCTGCCGCCCACCTTCCCCAGCTCAAAGACCCCACCCTAGTAAGAGTTAGCGGGGGTGCACTCGAAGAGCTCCGGGTAGTGGGTATGTGTCACTATAGATGTGCTAGTCTGAAGGAGGCTAAAGCAGGGGTTTCCCTGACAGCACTTTCTTGGTCCAAAAGACTTCATCATATAATAATATATATGTTTTTGAAATTGTTACACCTGCACCTGTACATGGGTTTTTTAAAAAAAAGAAAAGCCTTCTCATTACCATAGTTAATGTTTTTTTTTTTAAAAAAAAAAAACTGCCTCTGATTTATTGCCCCAGCCAAGGCAGGTTTTAGATAGGGAAATGAGAGATAAAAAATGGTTTACAAAGTTGAAAATGTTTTTTAGGAATGTTAATATGCTAAATACAAGGGATTTTTTTTACAAAAAAAAACAAAAAGAAAAACACTGTATAAGCCTGACACCTGATCATTATCATTACTGTGTGTCTATTAACTTCAGACCCAGCCATCACTGAATCAAAAGGCTTAATGATGAAGATTTTGTCAAACACTTTGGATATTGGGGAGTTCCCAATAAAGGGTTATATCAGGAAAAAACTTCAAAGAGAAACATGTCAACAATAATGAACAAAGTCATTTCTTCATAAGGAAATGGGAAACAGAACCATTGGTTTTTGATCTGAAAAACACATTCCCAAAGTAGTCATTTCCTTTTTTTGATGCATTTATTTTATTTTTGAAAAGTTAACCCCCAAGAGGCTCCGTACAGGTGGTCTAATGAGGTGGTCCAATTTATAAGGATAGTGGTTATTGCCTAGAAGGAGTTAGTGATGATGGTCTTCCACACTGGTCAGATAAACAGCTGTTAAGCTCAATGAACAATAGTATCTTTAAATACTATCATCATTGTAAGTGCTTATGGAAAATTTGCCTCCAAGGGGATAAGGAACATATCTTTTTTAAATAACTCAACAACAAAGGTCACTAGGTGTTCTCGTACTGGTTCTTGCTTGTCCACAAATCAATTCTGTCATTAGAAGAACTCGATTCCGCCCCTTGCACCAGATATGACACCAATGACCTTGCCACCGAAGTCAAACAAGCCACCACCCTGAAGGACTACAAAATCACCCCTCTCCTCTTCTGTATCAGCAGCCTGAGTGCCTCGAATTCTGCGATCGAGCCCTAGC